CCCCACCAAGGGCACCCTAAAAGCCTCACTTTTAATTTGATTACCTTTGTAAAGACCCTGTCTCCAAACATGTCTTCATTTTGAGGTACTGGGGGCTAGGACTTCAGTGTGTGAATTGGGGGGACCGGCAGGATCCATAACACAGGTGTTGGCAATGCAGAGTTGCAAACGCAAAGCTGGAGGTGAGTGTCCTTCATTTGTTTTGGTTCTTCTGCTCTTGGACAAAAACCCTTCCAAGACGGGAGTGATTTAAGGGCCTCCGATAAGCACAGTGCACCTCTCTCCTCTGGACAGGATGTCCGGGGGCCGGGCTGCTTGAGCCTCCCAGGCTGCAACCACACACCTCCTCACCTCTCCTCATGATCCATCCTCCCTTCTGTGGTAAGGAAAATGATGCTCAGGAATGTCTGAAATTCACCAAGTTTGTACAGTTCAAAGGCGATAAGGGTGGGATTTTTCTTTTCCTTTTTTTTCTTTGTTTTGAGACAAGAGTCTGGCTCTGTCCCCCAGGCTGCAGTGCAGTGGCGAGATCTCTGTTCATTGCAACCTCCACCTCCCGGGTTCAAGTGATTCTCCTGCCTCAGCCTTTTCGAGTAGCTGGGATTACAGGAGCCCCCGACTATACCTGGCTAGGGTGACATTTTCTTGATTAGCCCTGTGAGGTATACTTGGCATACCATTGATGCATATGTTTAAAGTGTACAGTTGGATAAACTTTGACATGGGGTATGCTTGTGAAATTATCACCACAATCAAGGTAATGAGTATGTGTGCAACATCCCTCAAAGCTCGTGTGCTCCTTTGTAAGCACCCTCCACCCCACCAGCCCCCTCCCCATTCACCCCCCTCCCCCACGCCAATCCCATAGCCCCTCCCCTTCCTTCCAGGCACCCAATGACCTGCTTCCTAGCACCATAGGCTACTTTGCACTTCCTAGAATTCCGTAGTAATGAGAAAACACTGTAGGTCTTCTTTGGCTCCTTTTGTTCAGCATAATTATTTCTAGATTCATCTGCGTCCTACTCTCTTTTTAAAACTGGTCTGAAAGATCTGGCTGGACGTGGTGGCTCATGCCTGTAATCCCAGCACTTGGGGAGGCTGAGGTGGGAGGATCACTAGAGGTCAGGAGTTCGACACCAGCCTGGCCAACATGGTGAAAACCTATCTCTACTAAAAAAAAATACAAAAATTAGCCAAGCGTGGTGGTGGGTGCCTGTAATCCCAGCTACTCAGGAGGCTGAGGTGGGAGAATCACTTGAACGCAGCCCAGGAGGCGGAGGTTGCAGTGAACATAGATTGTGCCACTGAATTCTAGCCTGGGCGACAGAGTGAGACTCCATCTCAAAAA